CGCGGTGTGAAAAATTCGATATTGCCATGAAAATGTAACATGCATCACATATCTCCAATATATAACACATTGTAATCAAAATGCTGTAAACCCAATATGCTTATTCAATTATATTTTTTTGTTAATTTCATACTGACCTTTATGGCATAACAATCTCCAATCCGCCGGCCATGATGTTATCATGTTATTTTTTTTAAGGTGTCCTCACATTTGTGTGTTATAAATTGATAAAAACAGAAGAAAACTTATCAAACCGGCTTATGATAATTGTCTATATTAATCTTTTATCTACCAGATATTGATTAAAATAGTACAATGTAAATGCGGTTTTGATAATCCGGAAAAAAATGCCAATTTCCGGACTCTTTATTACACTTGCTTTCTTAAATCTGCCGACAATACATCCAGAAGTGTGTTAGCGATTATGGCGTTGTGGTAACTAAACACTTTGTCCGATCTAGCGATTATTCGTGACCCCAAGAAACGATTTCAATTAAAATATAAGGATTGGATATTGATTTTAATCAAGGGGTTATGCTCACCTATACGCTCTCTGCACCCCTGAAATATGTACAAGATTACAGAGGAGCGATACCCGACTTCAAGGCCAATCAATTTTACCGTTACGCAACCGCGAGATTATTTTGATGTATATTAAAGGATCAAACAAGCTTACTTGTATCACACACGAGGGGCGCGTATACGGAGCTCATGGGTGACATCCTCGATACTTCAGGGGTAACGCCAACTTACGCTCTTAGCACCCCTGGAATATGTTCTGGCAAAACTGAAGCCACGAAGATAGGTATTTGATTGGTACTTGACTGAATCAGTGATACCTGTCATTTCAAGATTACAGAGGAGCGGCAACCGACTAGAAGGGCCTGTCAATTTTACCGTTACGCAACCGCGATATTATTGTGATGTACATCAAAGGATTGAGTTTGTATTGAAATAAATTCCAACATGAGCTACTTTGCAGTTCATTTAACTTGTCTCGAGACCAACCAAAAGTTCATCTACCAACCTTTTCCATTTAAGCACAAAAGCAATACTGTGCGAAATGATTTTTTTTTCTTCCATTTTTAGACTTGAAAATAACTACGTCACTTTTATCTATAATAATTACTCGTTATCTTGTTGTCGGGTTCGGGAAAAATTAAGATGAACGTGATCACGAGCTATAAAAGTTATTGAAGTTGTAAACGTGCTATGCATATAATTTTAATTATAATTTGTATCTGATTTATTGAAATCCCGAGTGGCAATTTTATGAAACATGATGTAAGGGTTGTGATAGGGATGTTACTTGTACGTCATTGATTGTAACGACACAGGTAGAAAATATCACCTGTACATCACAGGTAAAAAGATACAGGTGAGTACCCACGTGATAAGGATAGAATCAATCAATTTCGATGTCAATCATATATTGTCTCATATATAGTAACAGCCCTTCTCATTTTCTGTCAAACATTAAAAAAAAAATAGCCGGCTCGTTCACGGGTGAAAGAGCATATGATTCTATCGGCTAAATTAATCTGACCGTTGTCACCGTTCCTACCTCTCGTGAGTCAGTTAACTTTTTACGACTTCTTTTCAAGAACTACTATACCGATTGAAACCATATTTGGTAAGAAGTGTTCATTCAGTAAAGATTTACGAAGCCCTTATAGGGGGCAAAAAAAGGGGTACAATTCGGGGCATCTAAAAGGATTGCTGTAACGGACCAGCTGACTAATGATTTTGATATCTGTTATGTAGTAACCATGGTACTTATCTAAAAAAAATTAACAAACCCGGTTAATAAACGGGGGGTACCATGAAGTAGTTTGCGGTAAGTACACTGTGCAATATTTGGATGCTAAAACGCTCCAAACGACTTCATCTGAAGAACCAAATAGCATAGTATCATGAACTTGAGCAAAATTGGTATTAAAACAGGCATAAAGTAATACAAAGACTGCGAAAAGAAATGACCTTGACCTATATTCAAGGTTACCTGGGACAAGTTTGTCGAAACGCTCAAACTACTTCTTCAAATAGCTTATTTGCATGGAGTGCTTTTTTAAGTTCGTAAAAGATTTTTATTTTTTAAGAACACAAAGGGGCAAGTTTATAAAAAAAAAGACCTCGAAACACTCTTTTTTGAAAAATCGAATGCCCCTAGAATCACGCTGTATAATGTTTATCTTGCTGGCATGGAGTATTATAGAGTTTTGAAACAGAAATAACCTTGGCCTATATTCAAGGCAACAGGAGTCAAATTGTTAATAACGCCCAACTGAGTTCTACTGAAAAACCAAAAGGTATCAAGCCATGATATCTGGCTAGAATTTTGCTAAAACTCTTCTTTTTTTTTACTTCAAAATATAAGTTGAACGTTTTCAGGGAATACATTGTAGAAGTTTAAAATGAAATGAATCATTTTTATTATCATTGTTGTCAGTAGTACAATGTAGTTTGGATTTAATATTCTTAAATATTGCTTCGAGATACATTGATAGGATCGAACACACGTTTTGACAGCATGTGTTTTAAAACATATGGCGGATTTAGTTTTTCTTGGACATTATTCTTACCGACATTAAAATTCAGAAACTTATTTATACTTACCATGTACTGTGAAAGGCAGTTTATCAAATGATTCAAACTTGAAATAAAATCTTGTATATTTGTACATTAGTTTTTGCATGCCATCAAATTATTAATTCTAATCTGTTTTGACTTACAACGCATATAGGTACCAACTGTTAGTGTGAGTGTGATGAACTTAAATCCTGTTTTTGTTTTCATTAAATATATATAAATACAAGTCAAGTCAAGTCAATTTTGTTTATTATGGTGTCATATCACAGTTACATCGTACAAGTATATAGTTACACAGTGTAAAAACATATAGCTACATAACAGGGATCAATCATCTTAATGTAAAAATATATAGACCATATCATAATTTTATTAAGAACAGCTTATTATTCATAAAAAATAAAAATAAAAAAAAATAAAAATATCACATGTGCCAATCCAGAGAGCAGGTGATTGGGACAGCCCCTACCTAACAAACTCCTGGATTTGTCCTTACATATTAAATACTATAATAGTTAAAAGGTTTCTTTTACATTTACTGCCTTAAAACCTTATGTCTTTAAAAAAATCAATAACAATGGTGATAAATAAAATGAATAATTTCCTAGTTCTACATTGTAGTGAAATTTAGGTTTCCAATGGTTGGGGAGCCCCCTACCAGCGAGGTCTGCTAAATTCACACTAACTAGTAGCTAATTATAATTTAAACGGAAGATTATTTTCATAAAAAATGTTTCTGATTGACACCTGGTATCATATTTAACAAATGCATAAAATAGAAAATGAAATTGTATATGATATTCAGCCTAAAATGGCTTACAAGACACTGTTTAAAATCATAACTAATCACATAGACTGCTACGTCTTCTGTACATATTATATAAGTGGTTCGCAAGTGGAATTTGTAATTCCTCGGAAGACATTATGAAATTAAATTTGTCGGTGTTATTAAGACTTGCAAAATCATTTCTTATAATTTTTGCTACATTAAAGAAGGATTATCTTATGTCATTATATACATTACATTCAATTAAAAAGTGTAATTCTTCCTCTATACAGTTATTTACATTTGTACATATCTTACACAAGCGTTCCTCTAGTGGAATCACAGGTTTGGCGTATCTGCCAGTTTCCACTGCTAGAGGTAGACAGCCACATCTAAAATTAAAAAGTAATCTTCGTTTGCTCTTTTGTCTAACAAGCATGACATATGAATCTGGTATTAAATTTGATTAAAAAGTTCTGTAAGTTCTCAACTTGTTACCATTTATATTACCACTATCATTCCATACAGACTCGTACCATTCATCAGCATCTGAAATGATCAGTTTTTCTTTCACTCGTCTAATCTTGTGTTTAACAGAAAACGTTGAGTTCACAAACAGGTTTTTTTTTCTTCGCCTCCAGGGTTGATAACGATACAAGAATTGGTCTCAATCTTAGCCTGTCACTGCTGTCTATGGCTTTATCGCCGACTTTGCGTTTGTTGAGAATCCTGTGAGCAGTCTTTGAATCATGAAATACTATGTCCTCATGTATATTGTTGTTCTTCTTGTTAACACCAAATATAACAAAATGGAACGCCAGAGATTGTTTCTCGTCAATATCTGACAATATCTTTTTGACGTTACTGGGATTTACCTGAAAGACTGTTGGGTCCTTTGCTTTTTTCTTATTTGATGATTGTTCTTATCATAGCCCTGTCAAATTCCCTCACATATTACTTTCCGATAGAGATATTCTTAACTATAGTATCGTTTTCTGATTTCGGACACATTTCCTCATTTTTGTCTCAATATGCCAGTATTTATGTTCATCTTAACTTCTGGCTTACAAGAAGTGCAGAGACACTTTGAGTCTGAGTTCTGTAGACATGAAAAATTCCTGACCTATTTCCCAAAACACTTTACGTAAAAGGATGAGCTACAGCGCTCACACTCATGCATTTTTGCATGTAAGTAGCATCGCCATATTTGTTCTTCAGTTTCATCCTCGTTGTTGAGAAGAATTGCGTCCTCTTGGCTTAGCTGTGTTGCTTCAATTTGTTCTTTCTTTCCTTGGCTCATTGTCAATTGGGAACCGTCGGCACTTTCTTAAACGAGAAAGTCTTTCCTAATTTACGGAAAGTGCCGACGGTTCCCGATTTGGTTCGTTGCTAGACCCGCCTATACATGATGTTTTTCCTATGTGAGGCCATGCCTCCTTAAACTTTTGTATCTGCTGAAGAGAACATAGGTCTCGAAATGTTGGTCTTGAATGTTGCCTTAAGCATTTTCATGTACAATAATACATTATTATTTCTCCGTTAAGCTATAATAGGATTCCTATGATTGTAACACCATAACGATGTCAGTTTGAAAGACTTATATTTACACACGTTCATTTCCTTATTCTTCTTCTAATTTGCACAGAGTCTAGACGCCGCCCTGTGTACCACACCCCTGGGCGTGGCCGAGAACTCCCGGTCCCTGCTTCCTTACACCTTATCTGCGACTGAAGGTGATGCCCAGGACGTCCGACTCAACGGCCGGCGATCCTGGTACGGAACAACGCTTGGCCCGACTACATTTGTACAAGTAAGTCATGTCGTCATTTGGACACGCACTTGACATCACCGTTTTCACAGTTTTGGATATATACTGGAACTTCATAACATGTTTCCATAATTATTAAACACGGTAATCATCGCCGGGAAGATAAACCGTATAAATACTTGCGAGACGAGAACGAAATACATGTATGTTTGCAGACAGTCAGACTGTAGAGGACGGATGTCCAATGTCAAGGTTGCGCGGTTTCGAGTGTCTTAAGTTTTGAGTACAGTGGATATTTCGCTGTTGTTTTGTATGTTCAAAATAAGCAATTTTAATTAATTTGCATACCATAGGTAAATACGTACTTAGTTATAGCCTATGTTCAAGAGAATAAGCTCCCCTTACGAACGAAACACGCAACCGGTAGCCAGTTGTATAGGGCTCCGTCAAGGCAAAAGGACATAGCTATGAGCAAATCTGGAAATCCCCTACGTATAATTGGAGGGAATATAAGTGAACAATATTTCTAAAGATGCTCAAAGCTATCAAAAAGTCTTGTATTTCTCCTGAATATTCCTTTTTTATGCGCAAACAACCTAACTGAAATATCACAAACGATTGGATTGTGGATTATGAAGAATCGTTTAGAAATAAGTATTCCGTCTTTGCGTATTGCAGAGTTATCTTCTCTTGAGAGCAGGTATTGATTGTTACGTCATCGGTTTGTGTGAGAAAATTACGTCGTTTTCTCAAAAATTGATGACGTTACTCTCACAAACAAATGACGTAACAATCAATACCTGCTCTCAAGAGAAGATAACTCTGCAATACGCAAAGACGGAATAGCGTAACCAAACAGACCTATTTTGAATAGTGCCCCTAATTCTGGACTTGATCTTTTTTGCGTTCAGGTTGAAGTCGAGAGTAACATGCTAGTCACCGGTCTACTGGTACAGGGAGACAGTGAGAGACACATGTGGGTGACGTCACTGAGAGTGAATTATAGTGTCAATTGCCGAGATTACTTCGAAATTGAGGATAACGGTGCGCCGAAGGTATGTAGAATCAAGACAACAGTACTCCCAACCCCAGTCCCTTCTCCTTCTCCCTTCATGAAATGAAGTTTTTGAATTGCACACAATTTTTGTCCGCCTGTCTCGACCCAAAAATCGTTCTTAGGCCTCATTTACGCCGTTACCAATATTTCTTGCCACCATACTTGGTGTACAGCATCAACACTCCGGCCCAACTTTTAAGAAACCTTTCAACTCCTAAAAACGTTCTTAACTTAAATATTCTTTCTCCTCTCAAATGCTCTAGAACCTTGTTTTCTTTCAATCATCCTCATTTTCAATCCAACGGATAATTCTTTAACACCATTTCTTAAAAAAATATTTCATATAAAGTTTGTGGAAATATAGTCCTTAAAATAGATTTGAGAATGTTCCTGAAGTTAGGAAGTTTTGCACTTGTTCAGTGCCTGGCTTTCAAATTACGTCCCGGATCGTTTTTGATTTTTCTTTCTTTTCCTTTCCTATGTGCTCCGGACTGGAGATTCGGTACCGAGTTTTTAATTAGATGTTACGTGTCACTAATTGCCGCCTCTATATTAAAGGTGTTCGCGGCCAATGTTGATACGAGCTCAGTGTCCACCATCGTGTTCAACCACGTATTTGTGGCTAAATGTGTCCGCCTCATTCCCACTGAGCGCCATGGTAACCTGTCAGCCCTCAGATTCGAGCTCAACGGGTGCAGTAAGTACTATTATTGTGATAATCATATTGTTGCATCATTTTTTTCCTTTTTTTTTAGTTTTCCAAAAACATGGTATTTCAAAAAGGCATCAGAAATTATCATATTTTCTGTAGAATCCTTTCTGTATTTACAGTGACATTTCGATATAATGCCCGCTTTTCAATTGCAATCTCGCCTATCACATTGGTTTTCAACCTCCACATTTCCCAATTTTTAAAGAAAATCGCACACATCTTCTTCGACATATCGCAAACTTCTACATAACACCAAAAAGTAGTTTAACATATTGTCGCAATATAACGAGAGAATGTTGTAGCACACGTTAAACGTACACAGGTGTTGGCACGATTTATCAAAGAATTTGTATCCAAAATCGTTTTTGGAGGCTAATTTCACATCAATGGGATTTGCATTACAAATCCACTTTTAGTTTAGTTACACGTTGCTTACATTCAAACTTTCATTTCTTCCAAAGTGCCGTCTGCATGCTTTAAGAGTCTAAACACTACTGCCAGCGATAGTGGCGCACAGCTCCGCCTGGCGGGGGAAAAACTCGTGTCCATCGTCCGCATAGAGCCGACTGCCATCGGATATAGCAGTTACCGTCTCTCGTACAGCCGCACATGCGTCAATTTCTATGACGTACTGGAGGGCAACCACGCCAAGGTAAATAAAACTTTAAACAAAGCCAAATTTTATTCCAGAACTGTTGTTAATTTCGGTTGTGCTGTCGACAGACCGGAAATCGGTTTATTGGTTTTACTTCCGGTTGAGTTGGGGCTCTGGAGACGTATACGTATTCATCATTCACGAAAGAATAACGGTAACACGACATTATTTCGTGTGTGTCCTCAAGTGACCAAGATCAATTTGAATCCACGTAGCCATCGTTTCTTTTCTAGGATTGACCATCTTTGTTTCTTTTCATGAGACCGATTGAAATTCGTGAGTGAGAAATGTGTCCCACGCCGTGAGGAATTTTTCTGAAGTAATTTTCGTGCGTCTCACGCTCAAATCGTTAGAAATGGCATAATTGATCACATGCCGTCTGTTTTCTGCATCATTGAAATAATCTAGCGTTAGCAATTTATTTTTCCATCATTTCAAAAATATTCTATGAAATTTTCAGTTTGAAAACGTGTTTGTTATATTGACCACTGTATAACTCAACCAAATTCTGATGGTATCTATTATCAGTTATGAACGCAATGTCCCTTTTGTTGGCGTCATACTTGTAATGTAGTTCACTGACAAGCATATATATAATAAATACATGTACATTAATCTGAACTAATTGCTGAATTGGTTTAATTTTGTATGAGATTGAAATATTCCAAAAAGGTATAGAAGTATTGAATTGATTTCATTTTGCATTCATCGCCAATATGAGCAAACAAACAATTGTTTTTGGGTTTTTTTAACAATTTAGCTACTTTTGTCTTGTTTCGGAGATTCTGACAGGGTTATCGTGCTACATGCCTAAATGGTCAACTAGACAAAGGCAAATCTGTTATATGTAATTGAACATTCACAAAAAAAGAGAAATTACTGTCGAGAAAATAATGTCACCAAACCAGAGACTAAAACGGCATGCTCCCTAGACGGTCTAATGAAGAATCCAAAATTAATGACAAATTATCACTTAAAAGTCGTCGTTGCGCTCTTGAATGAAAAACGTCTGGGATGCGAAATATTCTTCAGATCAACACCACGGATCTGAATTGATGAGGTTGCAGTGTATTTGGGCTCTTCCGAGCTCCAGGATCTGTCCGTTTCGCCATTCTCAATTAGTCTTAATTCTAGATATATGGCTATAATTGGCTCTCTGATGAGAAACTAGTCTGTGTCCGTCTCACATCCCTAATACAACAGCTGCGTGTCACTGTCTAGCATGTTATAATGCCGTGTTATATACGTATTGAGAGACATCCGTCGGAGTCTCTAATTTAGATTGTATAGGTCGACATATATGTATATATATATATAATATTTTCGTAAGGTTATTGTTAAACAATGGCTCCAATAACAAACCGGCGAAAACAAATAAGATGCCACTCATTGTTGACAGCATACTAAATATTTGACAGAATAATGAGATTTTGTTTACACTTTTTTGCGCAAGATACGACGTATTTCAGAGATATGAAATATTTTTGACGATTTTTTTGTCAATAAGTCAGCCTAGATGAAGATCGTATTTTTTATTCGACAGAAATGGTCGTAAAACAGAGCCATGTGCAACTCCTGTTCGTCGTGTATTTTTGACGGCATGCACTCAATTTGTATAATGAGTAAAAAGTATTTTTAGAATAGCACTTTGTTTATTTCAATTACGAATAATTGGCGAACAGAGATGTAGAACTAAGTTCAAAACTTTGGGTCAACGACAATATAAGGTCACAATTTCGAACTCTATATCAGCATTTTGAATAATTGAAGACATTGAATTGTTCTCAACCGAAGGTAAACATGATTTAATGCATCACATAATTAACAGAATAAGCATTTTCTCCTTGTTCCTGGTAAACGTATAGAACTGTACAAAACTAGACAATTAATAGATTAATACATGGTAATCTTAACAAGTGTTAAAAACGGATAAGTCGCTAAATTGTGAAATAGTGCAAACATATATGTTTTTTTTCTGTCGTGCGAGTTGTCTCCCTTGAAGTCTTTACTCCTTAACACGGGTTTGTGCATTTACCACAGGTATTCACGAGCTTTGACGGCGAGTCGATAGATGTGGATCTTCATCTCCGGCCCCTCAGGACGCTATGTGTACGAGTCACGCCTTTCGGACAAGCCAGCGCCCCAGTGGTGCGGCTCAGGGGCTGTGGTACGTACAAATCCACGTGATGGATTACAAGTTTCTTCTGGCTTAGTTTCATATTCGGTGTTCAAATGTTTAACGTTACCAAAACCCACTTACCCTTTCGCCAATGTAGACCATAATGGACTCATCCAGATCAATGCATGGGAGAGTCTACTAAAGTTGCATATAGGGGTGAAAGGGTTCATTTTTGACATTGTATGCTCCCTGTTGAACACACCTTTCTGTCCGCCCGTTGACGTTTTCTTGTCCAGATCATATCACAGAGTCAAATGTGGATGTCAAAGTTCGAAGAAGTGAATAATAAATTTGATTGTGCATATTTAGATATATAAATGGTATATCTCTGATGTAGAAATAGAGACTTTGGTATTCTCGCTCAACCAGACGCTTATCTCCACTCGTGTAGAGAGACTCTCGCTTGAGGCAGTCTCGAGAGAGGGCGAGAGTGTGGGGAATGCAAGACTAAGACTTTAGAGACATCACTGAAATACCATGCCATCTGCACCTAGCGCAATACTCCTCTCGGTCACATTAGGCTGACCACTGGTGAACCACCCGTTGAACTCACTCTTAATGCCGAGAGTTTCACAGAAAATAAAAACTACCATTTTAAGGACTTCAGTATTTCCCGCTGAATAATGTCAGAAACGACACATGGTAAATCTAGAAATGGGCCAACATGGCGACCATTTCAATCGTCCAAAAGAAGACGTCGAAACCAAGATTCATGTGTGGCGCTAAATGTTTGCAAGACACACTCGCGTTATCAAATTCGTCCATTTGTGTGATGGATTTCTCGGCTTGGGTAACCAACAAGATAGGATATTGAAAACAATGATATTTTATTCTTAACTTGCAAAATACAGGGTCATGTTTCAGCTAAATTAATAAGTTACTTTTTGGCTGTTGACAAACCTCTTGAATGGTTGGTAGCATGCCATCTTCTTCTAGTAAGCTGTACAAAACATTGATTCGACTTTTGAGGAGACTGTACTATACAGATTTCATGCAAAAATCAAATTTTTTTCTTCTTAATTTATCGCCTAGTTTTTACAGGTGAGCAGACACGAGGATGGGGAAATTTCGTTAATTTTTATGCAGAAATCTAAAATCTATAGTGATGGACATTTTTAAGACAGTCGACCATTCGTCTATCGAAGACTTATACACTTAACAAAATAATAGCCGAGTAAAACATGGTACAAATCATTAAACAATGTAAAAAAAACTTCGAGAATAAACCTTTTCATTAATTCGAAAGTAGACCGGGTCGATCACACATTTCAATGTTGTGCTAAATTTTAGTCAGGTAAAGTTTGAATATATTTAATGGCAGCAATTGTAACATGGTCTATTCCGTCTTTGCGTATTGCAGAGTTATCTTCTCTTGAGAACAGGTATTGATTGTTACGTCATTTGTTTGCGAGAGTAACGTCATCAACTTTTGAGAAAACGAGGTAATTTTCCCACACAAACCAATGACGTAACAATCAATCCCTTTTCTCAAGAGAAGATAACTCTGCAATACGCAAAGACGGAATAAGATAGAAAAATGGATTAAAGACAGGCTATATGGGATATAGACATGTATTAATTGGAAAATGTATGAAACTATTTCAAAATTGATAAATATCTTGTAACAAGAAGATAAGGAGGAATTCATTCTCATTTAGATTTGCAGGCGGTTTGAACAATCTTTTTTTTCGTTGTAAATGCTACAAAAAATAGTAAAATAAATAAACATTATTACATAGACATTTCAAATGTACGATTTAGTCAGGGCACTTTGTATAATATGCTTTATTCATATATTTTGATTTATGTCTTGACAATCCTAGATATATCTATATTGTTGTAAAACATTTGATCACTTTGGCTTATGACCTACAGACTTTCCGTTGTTATTCCACAAACTGAGTTCATTTTACATCTGTACCAAGTCGGTGAATAGTCAAGCTGTGAAAAAAAATTCTTACAAAAAAGAAAGACTTCTAGCAAACGACACAGTTGAAGTGCGAGTTATCGCCCTTTAAATTATCTCCCTTACCCGTGTATATTTTCTGAATAACATCAAATCAATGATTTCCAATATAATGTTTTAAATATAAGTTCCCAGCAATAAAAATTGTTTGATCAAACAATACACTCGTGAAATGAAACAATATGTACTAATATTTTTGTCTCTTTTGAATACAACAATATCTATTGTTTTTACAACGACTTCAATTCTTCAAAAAAATAATCTTTAAAGCGCAATAACGAAAATAAATTTTCACACAAAAGGATTGATTTTCGTTATTCTTACTTTTTTTAGTTCGAACAATTCATGTCCTGCAACAGTCCATACTATTTAACGTACGGATAACTAGCAGTACGGTTTTAAAAGGTTCCACTGTACAATACCGATAATATGTATCACCTATCGCTTTCTCTCTTTCAGCTGTTACAGAGAACGAGGGTAAGATTTCTTTGGCATTCGCCATTCATGACATTGGTAATGTAAACCCGGGCACACAGCAGGTGCCAGACAACTTATCCGAGCCAAGTCGTAAATCGTCACCTTATGCTGTGGAAATTCCATCAGAAACTGTTGGCCTCTGATTTAGCCAGGAGACAGGCCCGGGAGAGCGTCGGTCGAATCTCGATATATCTTAGGTGTTCCGTCCTCGTAATTTCCTGAATTTATTTGATGTATGTCAGTGCACATAGACCTCGAATGTCAACTCGAGTCGCATTGCCTGTCACAACGGGAAATGTTATGTAAACGTTCAAGCGGTGTTGTTACAGAGGATACAGAGGAATTATAGACAAGACGTAATAGTGTTTTGAACTCCGGAGATATTACTCTATTTCATTGTTGTGTAACACTGATTATGCGGTTTTCTCGGCTTACTTAATATATAACCAATATTGATATAACCAAGTGGATCAGGTTCCACCTACGAGGTTTACAGTACAAAACAACAAAACAAGATTTGAACCGTCCGGGTTTCATAAACAAGTTCTATTTATTCATTTATTTTTCATATATTTGTCCCTATTTGACTGTATTACAAAGTATTGACATTTCTGCTGAATATACTGAATACGTCAGATAAACGAGTACGAAAATTCCGATTTCGCATTTCAAAAAATCGGTCTCAAGACCTATTTAAGTTTATACTCCGTAAAACTCAACATAACAGGATTTAATCCTCAAATGAAAAATATCAGGAAAAAAATAACCTGTTGTTACCACAAATATAATTTTCGGCCCATCGTCATAAATAGGTTACCGATACGCTCACCTCTCAATATCCAAGGGGAGATAACCATGTTAATAGCCATCTGATAGTTACTGATGATTTATAACTTGAGACACCAGGGGCCTGTTCCTTTATGCGGAACAACCGGTTCAGTTGCGGATCCAGAGGTTTTTTTCTGAAAATATCTTAAATCTATCTTCTTATTTTTTTAATTTGTGTCTGCGTTTTTGTCTTCAAATAAATCATTTTGAATTTGGCAATACATATAATTTTTCAAATTTTAATTTCAATATTTTTGAAAACTGACCGGGTAATTAGTTTTGAAGGTTTTTAAGAGGTTACAACTAACAAAGCTTTCAACAGCAGGGCATAGATAGTAGAAAATAGACCGAAATCGAAGAGATCCAGAAAAACGGTATTGAAAAGATCTCTGGTAATGTTTGCCTTTTACGACATGCCGTGAGTGCAGCTGGTCGATTTTACTCTCGTGACATAATTAGGGGTCGTTTAGGGGACGAACGACCAGATTTGGAAAAGGTCCTCTCAGTATTTCATTAGTTATACCCAGTTAAAGTGATTTTGTGTAACCTTTCAGACAGAAATCCGTAACATATGGGCTTATATTCCCTGTCTGGAGTTCATATCACCCTCGCTTCGGGGTATATATGAAATCCAGAAAGGTAATATGACACAATGTTACATGCATACAGCCAATCCAGTATTGTGTATACATATTTTGTTTCTCTGGTGTCACACACAAATTTCTGTAATTTCTATTTAGTTGAATCATTTGTTCCATATTGAATAGGCTGGTTTTATTTTGGTAAATGCTTGTTAAGTTGTAGGTCAAAGTGTTAATATGAGATTTACTATTTTAGGTATAGAAATTACATGTATATTAATGATGAAAACAAGAAAAACAGTGCATAGAAGAACATTTTAGACTTTTTAATTTGGTGAGCAACAAATTTTGACGGAAAATTCATTTTGTTAAATGAAAATTACCAAAATCATAAATATTGTGATTTGTTTTCTATGCAAAAAGATAAAATATGCTATCATGATGTTGCTTTCTACTTTGTTTGGTAGGGATCCACGTCTCGTGCGGACTCACTCATTTCCATAATAACCGATACGACCTCCACGGTGTCCTGAGGAACCTACACGCCGGCAGACCACTGCGTCAGAAGCGCGTGGTCGGCGGCATTCATGCGGCGCCAGGGGAGTGGCCCTGGCTTGTGTCTCTCCAATTCCTTCGGTACCACATGTTCTCGAACTCTTCCGGTTTCCCCCATCTCTGTGGCGCCTCCCTCATTCATCCGCAGTGGGTGATTACGGCAGCCCATTGCTTTGAGTAAGTGTCTACCTTTGATTTATATTAAAATCGTTAGAGTATTTAACGTCACCCGCAACATTAAAGCGGATGGGTCCTTTAAGTGTTTGTCTTTTCCGTTGATCCGCTCGTCCATACGAACTCTTTGTTAGACCATATGTGTTTTACTCCTCAAGTCCAAAAACTCATTAAAATTCATTTCTGAATATAAATGAGCACTACACCAATATATCAAATAAAGGTCACTGTGACCTCGATTAACGTTGGAGGGCCGCGGTGGCCAAGTGGTTAAGGCGTCTGACATTCCTACCACTACCCCTCCACCACTGAGTCGCGGGTTTGAGACCAACGTGGGACAGTCGGAAGGGCTTTTCTCCGGGAACTCAAGTNTTTTGTTGATAAATTTAAATATGAATGCTCTACAAACGTTTTCCAGCTCAGCCTCCTTCTACCGTTTTCATCGTTAATGCATGCATCACATCCATACTTACAGTAAAAAGAACTCGTTATACTGCCACCATTGTCAAATGTTGGCGTTATAAAGGAGTTTGGCAATATATCGAGTGAAACATGTGAAGTGTTGTTATAAAAGTAACATGAAACTTTTACATATACTGGCAGTAAGCGAGATGGCAAATAAACGAGGGGCATTATGTCGATGTACAAATACAAAATATGGTCTTTCGAAAATAAGTCTAAACATTTTCCTTCTAATGAGCCTTTGTCGAGCAATATAAAGAAAAACATGGAAACTAGTTTCAGAAAGACCGATTGCAATGCAGACAAACTCATATTTTGTCTATGATATAACCAATATTTCATGCATATATAAATAAGAAACAATCTTGTTTGACGGTTTAAATGGTGTGAAATGAACCTGCAGATCAAATGTAATAGCTGATAGGAAATACCACATTTAATAGCAATGTCATATGATCAAAATAAAAGGATACTTGTTTAATACATCATAAAAAAAAAACTCGTGACATATTCACACCGATTCGTTTTGTTGATAAATTTAAATATGAATGCTCTACAAACGTTTTCCAGCTCAGCCTCCTTCTACCGTTTTCATCGTTAATGCATGCATCACATCCATACTTACAGTAAAAAGAACTCGTTATACTGCCACCATTGTCAAATGTTGGCGTTATAAAGGAGTTTGGCAATATATCGAGTGAAACATGTGAAGTGTTGTTATAAAAGTAACATGAAACTTTTACATATACTGGCAGTAAGCGAGATGGCAAATAAACGAGGGGCATTATGTCGATGTACAAATACAAAATATGGTCTTTCGAAAATAAGTCTAAACATTTTCCTTCTAATGAGCCTTTGTCGAGCAATATAAAGAAAAACATGGAAACTAGTTTCAGAAAGACCGATTGCAATGCAGACAAACTCATATTTTGTCTATGATATAACCAATATTTCATGCATATGTAAATAAGAAACAATCTTGTTTGACGGTTTAAATGGTGTGAAATGAACCTGCAGATCAAATGTAATAGCTGATAGGAAATACCACATTTAATAGCAATGTCATATGATCAAAATAAAAGGATACTTGTTTAATACATCATAAAAAAACAACTCGTGACATATTCACACCGATTCGTTTTGTTGATAAATTTGATATTTAACGTACAAACACGTACGAGATCTATAATTTTGTAGTGCGTCAGAGTCACAATGGAATATAAAACGAGGAAAGGATAGCTGAGTAGCGGACTGTAAGGCTAATTAGCACGGTCTGGTATATTAACATGTTGTACATTGAGTGTGTAATACTATCCTGTCCGTAATACGGACCGGAGACGGATCGGGCTACGATCGACTGACCAGTGTCTATATTGATTCTCTAATATCCGTCCATTAGCACAATTATAAACGCGATAATGCCTCGATAACACCGTATTCAGGTTTCGTTCAAAATCGATGGAATATACACATATTCATATGTTGCTTTTTCTAGTATTAATAAATCAAATATGCAGTTCTTCATAAAATACTGTAGTATTTGAGTAGGATTTACTGATTTGCTATATCGGATATTGTTACTGGTGCGATAGAGACAGACTAGTTAAAATCATTCCGGACATATTTACTTTCGGATATCGTTTTGTAAATTATGTAATTCTGTCTTCGTGGATTTAGCTTTTATTTTTTCGGTGATTTTTGTTAGAAGAAAAAATAAAACTGGAAATCGTTAAATTTTCTCGTTTGAGTCTTATAATTTTCTGGTTTAGCTGTTGGCAGGGCATTTTTTTTATTATAAACAAAATAAGCTGTTTTTAGTTGTTTTATGGGTGATACATCAAATGTCAAGGTTTCTCGCATGTTTTTTTATGTACTGTAATACCAGAATTGGATAACGGTTTCCCTAGTGGGAAGATTGTGATTAAAAGTTTTTCACAACATGTCTGATTCAACTGCAGTAGATATGGAAACAATGATTCATAATGTTGAAATGTTTGCAGTATACAGTTAACTCTTGATATACAATTTGACACCTGGTTTACCACTCACATATCTCAAGGCCGCCCTTTCCCCTGACTTCCTTCACAGTTTACTGGACCAATTGTTGTTCTCTTCTTCCTTCATTCGTTCATTCCTTCCTTCGCATTATACAGAACCGATTGTTGTTATATTCTTCCTTCACTCGTTCTTTCCTTCCTTCTCAATTTTGCTCTCTCCTTCCTTCATTTGTTCCTTCTTTTCTTAGCAGTTTACAGGACCGATTGTTGTTCTCTTCTTCTTCATTCGTTCATTCCTTCCTTCGCAGTTTACAGGACCGATTTTTGTTATATTCTTTCTTCATTCTTCCGTTCCTTCCTTCGAAGTTTTGCTCTCTCCTTCCTTCATTGGTTCCTTCTTTTCTCAGCAGTTTAAATAACCGATTGTTGTTCTCTCCTTCCTTCATTCGTTCATTCCTTCCTTTGCAGTTTACAGGACCGATTGTTGTTCTCTTCACTCTTCATTCGTTCATTCCTTCCTTTGCAGTTTACAGGACCGATAGTTGTTTTATTCTTCCTTCATTTTTCCGTTCCTTCCTTCGCAGTTTTTTGCTTTTTTCTTCCTTCATTGGTTCCTTCTGTTCTCAGCAGTTTACACGACCGATTGTTGTTCTCTTCTGTACGTCCTTAGCAGTTTACACGACCGATTGTTGTTCTCTTCTGTACGTTCTTAGCAGTTTATACGACCGATTGTTGTTCTCTTCTGTCCGTCCTTAGCAGTTTACACGACCGATTGTTGTTCTCTTCTGTACGTCCTTAGCAGTTTACACGACCGATTGTTGTTCTCTTCTGTACGTCCTTAGCAGTTTACACGACCGATTGTTGTTCTCTTCTGTACGTCCTTAGCAGTTTACACGACCGATTGTTGTTCTCTTCTGTACGTCCTTAGCAGTTTACACCACCGATTGTTGTTCTCTCCAATACTATTCAATATATCAAATACCACAAATACACATACATGTATCTGTATTTTCCAGCGAGAAAGACATTTACTGATGTTTATTTACAATCAAAATAAAAAATATCTACAATACATTGTATACACCGTAATACTGATCAACAGAATTTTTCAACTACAATAATTTGAATGTTTCATTGTAGTCCTCCCTGCGTTACATTGTGTCACGTGAATGACACGAACAGTTAATAACCCGACAATCTGCACGTGCAACCAACGACCCTCCCCTTCCCCCTTCCCCGCCCCACCTGCAGATAGCGCCAGCAATTGACGTAATCATAAGGGAAAATAATTACATTCTTACTCCTACCGTTACCACCGGTTGTGATTATGCTTATTTACTTAAATGTAAGTTTACTTAGATTTAAATTATTTAAACCTGTATTGGGTTTAACGGTGATCATTGATGTTATTGTGTAAACTCACTGCCTGAACATATGCAACTTAATCCAACTAATCAGTATATACTTTGAATAGATTGTTTTGCCCTTTTCACAGTGATGTGGGTTGAAGTGTAATGTGATACTTTTATCACTTAACTTCAGTGTTATGCAATGAACTCACATTTCGTATGTGACTTTGGAGCTAGTGTAACTGTCGTTGGTTATTATGTCCGTGTTCATTTCTTTGTGACGTCATAATGATGATAACAATAATTGATCCAGAGATTGCTTCATTACGGAAGCCGAGTAGTGCCACTGAGTATATTTTTTTGTAACTCCAAACGGATCCACCATAGGTTTTGTTAATCTTCGATTCGGACTTTGAAGAAAAAACAACTAATCGGTCTCTCCACATTTATGTATCACCAGAATATATGTTGAACATATTATGGTGATATACAAGTATATAAAGGCTGATCAGGTTTCGGGCCTGTCCTTATTAGCTAAATTCACTGTAGTGTAGCCTGTACGATGACAAAAGTTGGGACTGTTTAAAAGATGGCGGCTGCCAGTCTACGACGAGTTTGAATTCACTCAAAAAACTGGTTCAAAAAATAATTCTGAGTATTTATGGACCCATGATATAGGTTAAGAAGCCTTTAAAGATTAATGATAATCTAAACTAGTTGCAAAATATTCTATAAACAAGTAGAAATATGCATTTTAGAGAGGTGACCTAGATATGAATTTGTGCGGTTTGGACACTCCGTAACGACTGTGTACGGTTGTGACATTGGATGCAGAGTCGTAAAAATGTCTGGCGATGACGTAAAATTTTGTTCTGTGTCTATCCAATGTGGACGTTACACTCCGTTTTGTGTATGTCCAGTGTGGACGTTACACTCCGTTTTGTGTCTGTCAAGTGTGTACGTTACAATCCGTTTTGTGCCTGTCCAGTGTGTACGTTACACTCCGTTTTGTGTCTGTCCAATATGGACGTAACACTCCGTTTTGTATCTGTCCAGTGTGTACGTTACACTCTATTTTGTATTTGTCAAGTGTGTACGTTACAATCCGTTTTGTGTCTATCCAGTGTGTACGTTACAATCCGTTTTGTGTCTGTCCAGTGTGTACGTTACAATCCGTTTTGTGTCTGTCCAATGTGGACGTTACACTCTGTTTTGTGTCTGTCCAGTGTGGACGTTACACTCCGTTTTCTGTCTGTCCAATATGGACGCAACACTCCGTTTTGTATCTGTCCAGTGTGGACGTTACACTTCGTTTTGTGTCTGTCTAATATGGACGTAACACTCCGTTTTGTATCTGTCCAGTGTGGACGTTACACTCTGTTTTGTGTTTGTCCAATGTGGACGTAACACTCCGTTTTGTGTCTCTCCAGTAAGGACGTTACACTCCATTTTGTGTCTGTCCAGTGTGGACATTACAATCCGTTTCGGTCTGTCCAGTGTGTACGTTACACTCCGCTTTGTGTCTGTCCAGTGTGGACATTACACTCTGTTTTGTGTCTGTCGAGTGTGTACGTTACAATCCGTTTTGTGTCTGTCCAGTGTGGACGTTACACTCCGTTTTCTGTCTGTCCAATATGGACGTAACACTCCGTTTTGTATCTGTCCAGTGTAGACGTTACACTTCGTTTTGTGTCTGTCTAATATGGACGTAACACTCCGTTTTGTATCTGTCCAGTGTGGACGTTACACTCTGTTTTGTGTCTGTCCAATGTGGACGTAACACTCCGTTTGTGTCTCTCTAGTATGTACGTTACACTCCGTTTTGTGTCTCTCCAGTATGGACGTTACACTCCATTTTGTGTCTGTCCAGTGTGGACATTACAATCCGTTTTGTGTCTGTCCAGTGTGTACGTTACACTCCGCTTTGTGTCTGTCCAGTGTGGACATTACACTGTTTTGTGTCTGTCCAGTGTGTACGTTACAATCCGTTTTGTGTCTGTCCAGTGTGGACGTTACACTCTTTTTTGTGTCTCTCCAGTATGGACGTTACACTCCGTTTTGTATCTGTCCAGTGTGGACATTACACTCCGTTTTGTGTCTGTCCAGTGTGGACGTTACACTCTGTTTTGTGTCTGTCCAATGTGGACGTTACACTCCGTTTTGTGTCTCTCCAGTATGGACGTTACACTCCGTTTTGTATCTGTCCAGTGTGGACATTACACTCCGTTTTGTGTCTGTCCAGTGTGGACATTACACTCCGTTTTGTGTCTGTCCAATGTGGACGTTACACTGCGTTTTGTGTCTGTCCAGTGTGTACATTACACTCTTTTTTGTGTCTCTCCAGTATGGACGTTACACTCCGTTTTGTATCTCTCCAGTATGGACGTTACACTCCGTTTTGTGTCTGTCCAGTGTGGACGTTACAATCCGTTTTGATTCTGTCCAGTGTGTAAGTTTCACTCCACTTTGTGTGTGTCCAATGCGAACATTCAACGTATAAATCGCGTCTGTCCTGTGTAACACTATGTGTCTTGTACGTCAAATTCAGTCGTTACACTGTGTTTATGTCGGCCCAGTGTGTGCAATTCCAGGGCAGACGTTACGCTATGTTATGTCCAGTAATGACGTGACATTATGTTTTATGTCCGTCCTGTATGTACATTACGCTATGTTCTGTCCAGTGATGACGTGACACTATATTTTATGTTTAGGGACACGGTTTGGCCGGGCCTGGCTACCGCCAGTAACTGGCGGGTACTGATTGGGGAACACAACCAGGCAGGACGGGACGGTACAGAGCAGGCCTTCAACATCAGTAACATCTACAAACGGGACAACTTCCAGATCACGTGTGAGTATAACAGAGCCCATGACAGTTCACTATGACGTCAGCATTGAGGGTGAGCTTCCTGTGACCTCTTATTTCATCACACAATAGGATTTATTTATAAGTTATATTCTGTTTTTGTTTTTTTAAAGAACACATTATTTTCCGCGCAACAAATATATCATTTTGAAAAACGTGCTACATGTACCTTAAATAAAACACCTGTATTTTTTCAGTTAAGGGTTTATGTTACATTACACTTTATACCTCTGACTTGTTTAATTTTAAAGATGTATGCTACCTGACACATTATACATATACCTATGATTGTTGTTACAGTTTAGGATGTATGCTACTCAACACATATTACATTAGTGATTCGTGTCAGTTATTCCCCTTACAAATCTGTAACTAACGTCGAAAACCTTAAACTTACATGGATGCTATTAATACGTCACGTATCCCTGTGTACATTTCATGTGTGTCATCACCTAATCAACCACGTGTGGAACTCTTCACGAAAGTGGTGTATGACACATTACGGTAGCATACGTCCTTAAGTATCAAAATTCATCATGTTATGTGTCTTGGATAGATTTGGTATTTTGTATTTTTTAATGAAAGGAAAAACACAGAGGAAACACGTTTTAAGGCAGTCACTTAAAAAAAATCGTATTTTTTTTTGTAATCACAAATACATATTTTTATACATTTATATATAATTTGAGATGTTCATTTTCATGCTAATTCACAAGAAAGTTGATCGCTTATTCAAAAACATGTATATAACAGTTTAGCTTACCTAGTCCGATTAAAACCAGGGGAAATTAGTCACTCCTCAATCAAACTATGGACATGTATCAGTTATTATATTCTTTCGAGATTTAAAAAAGTGCGAATATACATATTCGCAAAACATGATTGCGCTTTGCTATCCTGTCAACAGTTTTAATTTATGTGGTTGTGTTTCAGGGGACACACCTCTACTACAAGACATCGCCCTATTGAAACTGGACCGGCCGGCCATTTTGTCCGACTACGTCAACCCCGTCTGTCTGAACGTACTGACCAGTAGGTTCCCGCCAGGATCTGTGTGCGTCACGGCCGGCTGGGGTCAGAACACACAAGGTATAGAAGGTCCATTGATTAAGACACGTCTGAAATATGAAATATTGAAATATTGGTGACTAACTTCATTTATATTCTGTCCCGTAAATTTACAGAATTATTCCTTTAATATTATATTATATTTCCGTAACTTTTAATGAACGAAATATTAGGCAGTGGTTCGAGATTAGAGGATCTCTACTCCCAACGAATTATCCACAAGATGTACAAAAAATGTAATTACAAGCAACTGTTAACACTATAATAAATGCACTGTGCAGTCTGTCCTCCAGATTGAACAAACCTAAATGTTATTACCTGATTCGCAATCGCTTGCATTCTTTCTTACTGCATAACTATGGTGACCTTTCACTGAAGATGACCCCAACCTTGAAATGACCTGACGATTGCTTGTCCGTTCTGACATTTATTGACCACTTGATGTAACCTTGACAAGACCTTTAATTACTAATCGGTGTTGACCTTTGTTAACCGCTCAAGGTCACCTTTATAACATGACCAAATGATTGTGTTAGTGTTGATCTTTATACATAACCTCAATGTGACCTTTATATGACCTCATTTTTGTGTGTTATGGTCGACCTGTAATGACCTCTTAATTTGTGACCTTGACATGGTCTACAGTTCATCTGTCGACATTGACCTTTACTGACCTCTTCATGTAGCCTTGCTGTTACCTTATGGGTGTTTGACCATGTTGAACCTTTTACTGACCACTGAATTGAACCTAAACATGACCATGACCTTTGTTTCGTCGTAGATGGGAAGGGAGTGCGTCTGCCGCTCCACGCCCAGCTACCAATCATTCCTCCGGCCGATTGTGACGCAAAGTATGACGCACTACCGGAAGGTCACATGATGAAGAACTTTGTCTCTATTGATGATTCGGTTCTCTGTGCTGCCACAGAGTCCAGCCAGACCGGACGCGACTCATGCCAGGTAGGTCAGACCCTGCCTTTTTTTTAAAATGTCGAACCATAAAGTTAAATAATTAATCCAGTTAAGACGAGCCCTCCGAATTTCACCTTAACCATACAGATTCACCTATGGTGATAACCTTACAGAGCCATGTTGTTCTTATCAAAACTTGAGCGATCGAAGACTGGAATGTTTTCCCTGGTGCAATGCAATTTGTGCAACATCTAATCATTAATTCTAATAAAATGAAATGTTTAAATCAGCAATATTGTGAAGAATTAACTCTTGGAACCTGTAGGCTGTAGTGATCTTTAACAGATGTTTGGATGGAACTTTTAGAGTAGTCTTACTGATCTGAAAACGTAATTTGTGTTGAATCTAAGAGAAAAGTTATATCGATCTAAGAGAAAATTTTGTATTTGTCTTGGAGAGTAGTTTGTGTTGGTCTTCGAGAGAAGTTTGTTTTTATTTTAATTCGCCGTTTAGTTAATATAATGTCGTAATTTGTGTTTATCTTTAAGAGTTGTTTGTTTTGATCATAAAGAGCAATTTGATCTTAAACATATGTTCAACGAGAACCTCTTTTACAGGATATAAATTTCTTGATGAAAAGATGCCCCGTATGAACGGTAATTCTCAGTAAACACGATAGAGTTACCGTTAATTCTCAGTGAACACGATAGAGTTACCGTTAATTCTCAGTGAACACGATAGAGTTACCGTTAATTCTCAGTGAACACTATAAAGTTACCGTTAATTCTCAGTGAACACGATAGAGTAACCGTTAATTATCAGTGAACACTATAGAGTTACCGTTAATTCTCAGTGAACACTATAGAGTTACCGTTAATTCTCAGTAAACACGATAGAGTTACCATTAATTCTCAGTGAACACGATAGAGTTACCGGTAATTCTCAGTGAACACGATAGAGTTACCTTTAATTCTCAGTGAACACTATAAAGTTACCGTTAATTCTCAGTGACCACGATAGAGTTACCGTTAATTCTCAGTGACCACGATAGAGTTACCGTTAATTCTCAGTGAACAATATAAAGTTACCGTTAATTCTCAGTGAACACGATAGGGTAACCGTTAATTATCAGTGAACACTATAGATTTACCGTTAATTCTCAGTGAACACTATAGATTTACCGTTAATTCTCAGTGAACACTATAGAGATACCGGTAATTCTCAGTGAACACTATAGAGTTATCGTTAATTCTCAGTGAACACGCCAGAGCTCGAGTTACCGTTAATTCTCAGTGAACACGATAAAGTTACCGTTAATTCTCAGTGAACACGATGGAGTTACCGTTAATTCTCAGTGAACACTATAAAGTTACCGTTAATTCTCAGTGACCACGATAGAGTTACCGTTAATTCTCAGTGAAAACTATAGAGTTACCGTTAATTCTCAGTGAACTCGATAGAGTTTCCGTTAATTCTCAGTGAACACGATCGAGTTACCGTTAATTCTCAGTGTACACGATAGAGTTACCGTTAATTCTCAGTGAACAATATAAAGTTACCGTTAATTCTCAGTGAACACGATAGAGGTACCGTTAATTCTCAGTGAACACGATAGAGGAACCGTTAATTATCAGTGAACACTATAGATTTACCGTTAATTCTCAGTGAACACTATAGAACTACCGTTAATTCTCAGTGAACACTATAGAACTACCGTTAATTCTCAGTGAACACTATAGAACTACCGTTAATTCTCAGTGAACACTATAGATTTACCGTTAATTCTCAGTGAACACTATAGGGTTACCGTTAATTCTCAGTGAACACTATAGAACTACCGTTAATTCTCAGTGAACACTATAGAACTACCGTTAATTCTCAGTGAACACTATAGATTTACCGTTAATTCTCAGTGAACACTATAGAACTACCGTTAATTCTCAGTGAACACTATAGAGATACCGGTAATTCTCAGTGAACACTATAGAGTTATCGTTAATTCTCAGTGAACACGCCAGAGCTCGAGTTACCGTTAATTCTCAGTGAACACGATGGAGTTACCGTTAATTCTCAGTGAACACGATAAAGTTACCGTTAATTCTCAGTGAACACGATCGAGTTACCGTTAATTCTCAGTGTACACGATAGAGTTACCGTTAATTCTCAGTGAACTCGATAGAGTTTCCGTTAATTCTCAGTGAACACTATAGAGTTATCGTTAATTCTCAGTGAACACGCCAGAGCTCGAGTTACCGTTAATTCTCAGTGAACACGATAAAGTTACCGTTAATTCTCAGTGAACACGATAAAGTTACCGTTAATTCTCAGTGAACACGATCGAGTTACCGTTAATTCTCAGTGAACACGATAGAGGTACCGTTAATTCTCAGTGAACACGATAGAGTTTCCGTTAATTCTCAGTAAACACGATAGAGCTACCGTTAATTCTCAGTAAACACGATAGAGTTACCGGTAATTCTCAGTGAACACGATAGAGTTACCGTTGATTCTCAGTGAACACGATAGAGTTACCGTTGATTCTCAGTGAACACGATAGAGTTACCGTTGATTCTCAGTGAACACGATAGAGTTACCGTTAATTCTCAGTGAACACTATAAAGTAACCGTTAAGAACGCTGTCGATGTTTTGTTATAATTTCAGGGAGATTCAGGAGGGCCCTTATTCTGTAAGGACGGAGATCATTGGGTACAGGCCGGTATCGTGTCTATAGGCCTCGGTTGTGCTAACCCGGACTTTCCCGGCATCTATACACGGATATCGTCCTTCATTAACTGGATAAATACCACCCTGGTACAAAACTCGGACGATCCTGACAACCCGGATACAGTCAATGCCGGATACAATCCACAGATACAGAAATAGTTTCACACTCCGGTTAATATCAAATGTGCAATCTTGAAATTATCAACGTTTTACAGCGATACGTCCACAGTACGTATTTTCCCCCCACAGAAATACGTTTACAATGGGGATATTGGTGTTTTTTTTCTACATAGTGCGTTCACAATACGGTTATTATGATTTTTTCGACAAAAGAAAGCCGTTCACAATCTTGACATAACCATTTTTTTCTACATAAATTGTACTGCAAGGCGAAAATCAGCAATTCCGTTGTTACAGAATACAGAAATAATTTCAAAATCCTCATATACCGTCAACCTACAGAAATTTCATCTCAATTCGAACTGAAGTTCCCCATCTCGATACCATTATTACTTTTATATAAATAGTTTCACTCTCCGGTCACCCTCAATAATTAACTATATAAAGAGCTTCGCAATACGCATACCAGTTATACGTATATGAAGTTTCAAAATCGGCAGAAACATCAATATCGTTCAAGAAATAGTTTCACACCCCAGATACGATGCTATCAAACCTGGACTCCAGAAATAGCTTCATACTTTGGACATCATCAATACGGAACTACAGAAATGGTCACTATCAACATTGAGCTTCAGAAATACTGAAGTAGTTTCACACTCCGGACACCATTCTTTAAAATACAGTAATACTTTTACAATCTGGACACCATCAATTAGCTTCACACCTTGAACGCAGTCAATTTTTCAACAGAAATAAATTTGCATACCGAACGCTGTCAAAACCTGATTCTGGGCCAATCTATTCATTGATAAATATCTTTGAAATATAACAATGAAATCAATCATTGATACAAACTTTAGAAAACCTCACCGGATATTGTTCATCCAGAAACGTTTATACCTTGCATTTCAAGCATAGAGAAGACACAGTGTTATCTTAATCCTTAATATGTTTGGAAACAGTGTCGCATAGTACTGTTAAGTTGTTCATATCGTCTCGTGCATAACAATAATGATCGCTGATAATAGCATCTAAGTCGGTGTACGGAATTTAATCCACACCTGTCATCACCAGCATCTTATGAAGAGGCCAACTGTCAATACACAGACAATGTCGGTATTCTTTAAGTTCAAAATATCCGGGAAAACAGTGCTCCGGATCGGGATACTATATTTGACCTTCCGGTGTGACCAGGGATGGATTAATACTGATTGCCAAGTGGACAACTTGTGGAGATGTGCCTTCTGAAAATGCTCATTTGTGTACTGTTACAGGTCCGAATGAGATGACATGTTCGGATCATCTCGGTCGTCTATATATCATCGCTATACGTGTGATAAAACTTCAACTATTTATTACTGACTGAAATTAAAAATCATCCACAGAAATGCGGGTTAATGGAATGTTGTACACTTGGAATTATATTGAAGCATATGAACTAAATTATTTGCTCTTTGTTTGTTTGTTTTCAATGATTCGAATTATATAAAAAAAAAAACTGAAACTGTTATATATATTTCAGGAACCTATATTTGGACGAATAAAATTCAATTGAGCCAATGTCTTTAAGACAACCTGAGACGTGTATAAACTTTTCTGTTATCACAACTTTGTAACGTATTGAAGTTTTAAAGAAATATTTAATTGTTTGTAATTGTATTGTAAACATTAATCTCCTTAATCACGACATCGAGTATCCAGATAACTAGCTCGACACTGACAGATCCATTTTCATTATACGTACCCGCCATGATTTGTTTGTCTGTACTTCTTAGAAATCGTTGAGTGTTGCGTCCTGAAATCGAGTCTCGAACTCCATTATATGAAGAGTTATTGCCCTTTTTTTTTACTGTGCGACATTTTGTTGGTCTCGTATACTCTGTCAGCTGCAATTGTCTTTTGTTTGCAAGTGTTTTTGGGATGGCAAAGCGTCGCGTACTTGTGTAGATTGGTAACCCTTTATTCACCGAGCCTCGCTATGTTAGTGATACATCTAGTTTTGTTTCCTGCGATGGCGATGTTTTGCGTAGTGATAGTGGGGTTTTGTACCCTCCTATATATTCAGAGTTAAGTCCCTTTGTTTACTGTGCACCATTTTGTCAGGGAAATATCTCTTATACTGTCACATAAAAAATTGCCAACTTTTGTATGCGAGTATCTCTTGAGATGGCATAGGGTCTCGTACAATTATCTAGTCACGAGACCCAGTCAAAGTTTCGCCAAATTTGATATCTGAGTTTATTTGGAGGTTGAAGACTTTGAATTGCTCGCAAATTCTTACTCTTTTTATTAATAAGATTGTCGAAAATTAGTTATTCCCGGAATTTATTTCGAAACTTATGAAGTATTTTGATTATCACTGTTCTTCTGTATACAAGATGTAGTAATTTGAGGCTTAACCAGTATATGCGACGTCAACGTCACCCAACAGAGATGTATTCGTCACCACCGATCAATCAGACATAGCGTTAAACTGACAAGTCCATTCTGGGTAAATAATTAACAAACTAGTACATTGAAATACATTGGATGGAGCGGGTGAATATCATTTTATGAAGTCTTCATCAGTAAATGCAGAATACAGGTGAACTATAACGTCGGGCATATGAAATGATTACACATCAACATCGGAATATTATAGATTGAAGAAAATGGTCAATACGACATTCGTCCACGTTTTAAATAATAACACAGCTTTGGACTTTGTACACAAGAGGTATATACGGCCTGTATCGAATTTAACAAGTCACTGATAACCGGACGAGGCGACATTTACACGCAAGTACAAATGTTGGTATTAAATTATATTGAACAACAAACAGTCTGGATTATTGTCATGCTGGAAGAATTTCACCTTCCAACTCCGACACATTTGAATATTGAGCCAGAATCTACTGTTACGCACCGGTAGCTAGCTACACAGACTCAATCAGCACGTGCGAAAATGACGGCCACGACCTAGCTGGGAGAAATTTAACAAGAAGCCAAAGTTGTATGTACCTGAGTGACTCATCTGAGTGAGATATAGGTAAACACTAACCAGATATGCTTGTTATATCATTGGTAAGTAAACAGAGAGAAAGCGATATAGTTCTCTCGGGCAATCGTATGAGATGTTATGACACAGCTGTAGAATATTCTTGATTGTAAATAGGTATATAAAATGTAGATATGGCCTGTATAGTCTTGATACAGAATAGGTATACAAAAGGTATATGTGGCCTGTATAGTCTCGATACTGAATATGTTTACAAAATGTATGTGTGGCCTGTATAGTCTAGATATTAAATAGGTATACAAAATATTTATATAGCCTGCATAGCCTTGATACTAATAGGAATACAAACAGGTATATTTGACCTGTATAGTCAAGATACTGAAAAGGTATACAAAATGTATATATGGCCCGTATGGTCTTTTACAAATCAAACAGGCAGTGACAACATAGATGATGACATAGGGTACTTTTTACCTGCATTGTCTGTTTACAGTTGAGTTACTTCTGAGAAGTTGTTACAGCTATATTTGGATCTAAAATAAGCTGTTCATAGTTATTGTATATGTGCTAGGGGTTTAGATCAATTTTCGGTCAAATGGTCGTGTTATGGTCAATAAGGTCAATTAACAGCCCACAATTTGCGGTCGGCGTACTGCCTTTTTAAATAGCTGTTATGCGATCTAACATATAAGTATTTGTGTATTTGAAGGATCGACACAATTAGTACCAATAAAATATCTGAAAGATCTGAGCGTATACAACTGTTAAGTTCTTCAATAAAAGGAGTCTGCTAGTTGGTCTATAAAGTAACAGAACACCGTACAATAAAAACAACTAAAGCATGTGTCTATAGACATCACAGAGACAGTAGGTTTTAATTTGAGCTTATGTATTCTCCTACTTATTTAGATAAGATTTCAAATGCCTATGCTTCAAAATAGAAAATGAGTTTGTCGGTAATATCATGACTGAAAAATGGGTAGAAATAGTTCAGAAGTTGTTATATATTCGCTCCAACTGATTAAGCTAACTGGTCAACGGAAGATATACAAACGGACGTTAAGGGGAGGTAACTGTATATAGGGAAAACTACAGTGCAGTGGGACAGGGACACTTAACTTTTGCCTTTTCGTCCTCCGGTAATAAGGGCGAATTATAATTACAGCAAATAGTGAAAAACAACATCTACATAGTTAATTAATGTGAAGAGCGAAATAAAGATAACGTGAATATGTACCTATATTTTATCGGCGAAGGGCGAAAGCTTGTCTAGGTGAAAGTTTCCAAGTATAATATAACACAGGTCTATGTCGTATGTTTCAAGTAAGTAGCACTAATCACAGGGACCTGATAATTTGTTACAGCTATATTTGGACCTAAACCATGGTGTTCAGAGTAATTTTACATGTTTTAGGGGTTTAGATCGACTTTCGGTAAAAATGACACCCCCAATGATCATATTTATCGACCTATACGATATGTATCGTGAACAACTTCCATTTTCGTTGTACAGCAGTTAAACACCCTTACCATCTTAAACATCTTCTTGTAAAGAACCAGAAGTCCAAATGGTTTGATATATAGATTTCTTATTATCTATTAACCGTAGCAAGTGATTGGTGGACAAAGTTGAACAACAAACAAAAAACAAAAACTGTTAATAAACAGGGCTACTACGGGTGGTTTACAGTAATTGTGCACTATTTCAATCAAACGCTCAACCGACTTTTGTCTACAGAACCAATTTATTAAGTGTCGTGATGTTTTTGCTAGTAGCTTCAAAGCATGAAATGTTACCAAGTTTAAGTACGTACCCAGCATCTCGGGTCAACACAGCAGCAGAAAGAAGAACCCTCACCCATCAGTGAAGCGTGAACGCCCAATGACGAGACATGTTTACATTCCCTACGTGGGCGGAGTGTCTGAGGCGATCAATAGGAAGATCCGAAAGTTGGGTGTCACAATGCATACAAAACCTACAAATACAAACTCATAGCATGATTGTGGCTCCCAAAGACAATACCAATAGCAGATATCGTGTGCAGAATGCCAAGCAGCAGATGTGGTGAGACAGAAAGAGCCCTCCGGAAACGAGTCTCAGAACATCACAGAGACTCATCACCAGTCGGAGCTCACATGAGCCAAAGATCGCACACTTTTGGGGCTCTCAACATTAGAGAGTTCTGGACCAAGACCCCAGCTGGTTCCAGAGAGGGGTTAAAGAGGCCATCTACGACGCAGCCACCAGTCCAGACTTGGACCAGGACCGAGGGCGGCCTGATTCAGTCACACGACTTGGGGATAATCCCCAGGTCACATGACTGAATCACCAGATTAGTCTGAAGCCTCTCAACTGATCTCAGTAAGGTCTCAAGCTACCCGTGAGAAGTGCTTAGTTGAGAGACTCTGTTTAGATGTCTGTTTAATATGTTTCCAAGTTTGTTACATTCAAGTTGACAAGGGTCAAATTCGTTTAACCATTCAAACCACCCCTGAAGAACCGAAGCCCCTGAGTCATGATATATCGCAAATAGCTTGATTGTGTTAATGACCTCGACCCATAATACAGGGTCAAATTTGTTAAAACACTCAAACGACATTTTCTTTAAAACCCCCCACCTCCAATCGTATAGTCATGATATTTGTTCAGCAGGTTGCTGCCATTACATGCTTCAATGATTATGAAAACAAATACAGTGTTCCATATTCAAGGTCACAAGGATCAAATTTTTCTTTGTTATAACGCTCTACGGAATTTTGATGAAAATGAAAAATGAAAAATAGATATATTAGAAGCTTGCTGATATGGAGTGTGAAAAGAAATGTCCTTGGTGTACATTCAAGATCCCGTGAGTCATTAACATTAATGACCTTGGCCATATTCAATGTCACAAGGGTCTCATTTGCTAAATAGCGACTTTTTAGGTACTGATATGAAACCAGTAGCTTGCTAGCATTATGTGCGCTAAAGCACGTGTAAAGGAATTATATGGATCCATGTTAAAGGTCACAAGGGTCAAATTTGTTTAACGTTTTAAACGACTTCTGAAGAAACGCCGGAAGTGCCTTGGCGCAATTAATTGCGCTACAGTTATATCCAAAACGAAACTGAACTTATACAGGAAAAAGCAGTGCATTGCATGCAATGGGAAAAGAATTCTTAACAGTGTCTTAAAATAAATGTATAGATATTGCTTCTTTCGGGGAATTATAGCTATCTGATTGTACTCGTCAAGTCCTAAATGTTGTGTGGTGTGAACGGAATAACAACATAAGAACATAAAGGAGAAATACATACGAATAGTGCTAATGATAATAAATAAATAAATGAATTATGCAAACGTCCAGTTGCTTTATCATTGGGTCCATCTGAACTATGTGGACATTTTTTCTCAAATCATTGATTTGAGATGAAGTTGTTGACCTGTCAATATTCACTGATTGCTAACATGATCGCCCTTGAACGCGATAAATTGGATTAGGAATTTCAACACAAGTAAACGACGTTCAGTATGCTTACCACAAAAAAACATCAATTGAAAAAAGTAGAAGAAAATAACGAATGAATTCCCAGTAGAAATGCCGTGCTACACCGCCAGATTATT